GATGGTGCCATCATCGAGGTTCTTGATATCTATATCTCCATGGTGGTAGACATGATGCCCTTGGAAAGGTTCATACCATAGTGACTTGAGTTTTCCCAGGAATAGATTAATCCTTGAATTATAGAGGACTTGTTGGCTTTCTTGAAAGTGTTATGGAAAAAGATGTTTTTCATGCCACTTTTTAGTTTTGTCCTTGTATAAACGAGCATTCTCATAGGCATGGGCTCGAAATTCTTCCATCTCATTCAGCTCTAGAAATCTCCTGTCACTGGCTAGCTCGGCATCAAAGTTGAGTTTTTTGATTGCCTAATAGGATTTATACTCTAGCTCAACAGGAAGATGGAATGTTTTTCCATAGACTAGCTTGAACGGTGACATCTTGAGTGGTGTCTTGAAAGCTGTGCGATACGAACATAAAGCTTCATTAAGCTTGAGGGACCAATCCTTCATCTTGGGGCTAATAACCTTTTTAAGGATTTGCTTAATCTATTGGTTGGAGACTTTAGCTTTTCTATCGGTTTGGGGGTGGTATTATATATCAATTTTGTGCCACACCCCATATTTTTTAACGCCTGCACAATTAACTTGTTGTCAAAATGGGTACCTTCATCACTTATGATAGCCCTAGGTGCTCCAAACCTCGTGAACTTATTCTTATAAAGGAACTTGAGGATAATCTTGGAGTCGTTCCTTGGAATAGCCACAACCTTGACCCATTTGGACATATATTCCACTACTAAGAGGATGTAAAGGTCACCAAAGGAAGATGGGAAGGGTCCCATGAAATATATTCCCTATACATCAGAGAGCTACACCTCAAGAATATTTTGCAACGACATTTCATGTCTCCTCAGGATGTTTCTAGTGTGTTGGCATCTATTACATGCCTTATAAAACTCATGCACATCCTTGAAGAGTGTAGGCCAATATAACCCAGATTGTAGGACCTTTGTAGCACTCCTAGCCCCTCCAAAATGGCCTCCACAAGGAGTTGTATGGCAATGGAATAGAATTTCCATTTTTCTTCTTTTGGGATGTACCGTTGAAACATCTAATCAACATATTGCTTGAACAAATAAAGCTCACCTCAATAGTAGAATTGCACGTCGTGCCCAAATTTCCTTTTGCTATGGTTATTCAAACCAGGAGAGGAAATACCACTAATAAGAAAGTTAACTCAATCAACATACCATAGAATTACTGTGGTAAATAAGATTTTCTCATTAGGGTATTCCTCATTGATTTCTAAGTTTTCAACATATGAAACTTTGTTTTCAGTTACTTTCCTATCTTTAATCTATAGGTCAAATTCTTACAAAAGAAAAATACACCTAATAAGTCTAGGTTTGGAATCTTTCTTGGTCACTATGTACTTGATAGTTGAATGATCAGTATGAACTATAACCTTAGTACCTATCAAGTATGTCATAAACTTATCAAAAGCAAATACTACAACAAGCAATTATTTCTCAGTGGTTGTGTAATTTACTTGTCCTTCATTTAAGGTGTAGCTAGTATAATAAATCACATGAAAGATCTTACCTCGTCGCTACCCTAGCACTGCTCCTAAAGCATAGTCACCCACATCACACATTAGTTAAAACGAGGCATTCCAATATGGTGGAACAACTATGGGTGCTGAGATAAGTCTTTCTTTCAGCTCCTTGAATGTGCCATAGCAATTTTTATCAAACACAAATTCTTGATTTTGTTGTAGCAAAATGCACAAAGGCTTGGAAATTTTGGAGAAGTCCTTTATGAATCACCTATAGAAGCCAACATGACTTAAGAAGATTTGGATGCCCTTCACGGTGGTAGGAGGAGGTAGTTTCTCGATCACTTCAACTTTTACCTTGTTCACCTCTATCATTTTGTGTGAGATCTTGTGGCCTAAAACAGTGCCTCTGGTCATCATGAAGTGATACTTCTCCCAATTCAGCACTAGTTCAGATTCTTCACATCTCTTCAATACCTTAGCTAAATTTCTAATACATTATTCAAAATCATCACCATAGACAGAGAAGTTGTCCATGAAGATCTTCAAAATGTCTTCTACCATGTCTGAGCAAATGGCCAACATACACTTTTGGAATATTGTTGGAGCATTGAAAACTCCAAATAACATTCTTCTAAAGGCATATGTACCATAGGGGTATGTGAAGGTTGTCTTCTTTTAATCATCTAGTGTTATACCAATCTGGTTGTACCTTGAGTATCCATCGAGGAAATAATAATAGGACTTGCTCGCCAATTGATCAAGCATTTGATTGGAAAGGAAATAGTCATTCTTGGTTGCCTTATTGAGCTTCTTATTGGTAAGATTTCATTGTCCTCATTGCTCACCACAGTCACGCCCCTTTATTGGGCACATATTACACCGGGCTGATCCATGAGCTATTGGATATTGGGTAGATTACTCCAGCATATAGCCATTTAATGATTTCCTTTATCACCACCTTCTTCATGACTTGGTTAAGTCTTTTTTGGGTTCAACATAATTGATGTGGCATTCATTAAGCAAAATTCTATGCATTCAAATAGTGGGGCTTATACCCTTCAAGTCAGCCATAGTCCACTCTAGATCTTTCTTATGTTGAGATAACATATTTTTTAGGTTACATTCTTGCTTAGGGTTAAGACTAGAAGATATTATTACGTAAAAGTTTCATAACTACCCAAATACACATATATAAGATACGATGACAAAGGTTTTAACTCTAAAGTAGGTGCATGCTCAAGTGAAGGTTTTAGAAGATTAAATTCAGTAAATTCTAAGGGTTCGAATTGCGTAATTGGTCTAGCTATGAGTAAGCTAGACTGTTTCACCTCCATTAGGAATTCTTTGGGTTCCTCATTGCCTTCTTTATTGAGCTTCTCACAGTTATCGATCTGCACGAAATTACTATAGCAAAATTCTTCAGCTTCCTTTTCAACCATCGAATTCATGTCTATAACACATTGACACTCCTCAGAATCATCCACATATTTGAGTGTGTAGAATACATTAATGGTCGCACTCTAATTAGCCACCCATATGGTGAATTCACCATTCTCATTGTCGATTAGAATTCGGCCAATCGCTAGAAATGGACGCATTATCATCAGTTTCACAATCAAGGATGAATAAATATATGGGAAAGAAAACTTGTCCACCTTCACCACAACATCTTCGATTCATCATTCGGGTCGGACGTGGGATCAGTTGGCTAATTACAAGATAACGGTGACCGATCTTACATTTTCCATTCTAAGCTTCAGAAATACTGACTTGGGCATTAAAATTCATACTCGACCCAGGATTACATAGGTCTCTCCCTACATAATTATCCCCTATAGAGTAAGAAATAATGAAGTTGCTAGGATTTTTCCTCTTTGGTGGCAGCTTGCACAACACATAATATCACTCTTTTGTTGTAGCAACTATTTCATATTTCTCAACCTTCCTCTTTTTTTTTTGTAAATATATAACCTTGAGGAAATTCACATGCGTGGGCATCTGATCAATGGATTCCAAGAAGGGAGCATTGATGTACAACTAGTCAAGGATATCAACAAACTTCTTGAACTAAAGGTCTTGATTTTGCTTCTTTAATCTTTGTGGGAAGGGTGGTGGGGGTCTGACTTCTTCATCTACTGGTGGGGGTCTAACTTTTGTTGTAGAATTAATCAATATACCATCAGTAGTTTCACTTGTAGATCCATCATGTTCATCATTCTCCAAAGATTCATCCTCTTACGTCTCGGGTTGCAAGGATACTTTGTGCAGGTTTAATTCAGTACTACAGTGTGCAATGACACTTAGTACAATGGTGGGCACGACCTTATATGCAAGAACTTCAGTGCATATATGACTCGAATACCCAGGGTCTTCATAGGTTTACATTTGGGATATGGTTTATTGGTTAATAAATGATAAACATGTGAATACGTTTATGAGCTTATGGAATAAATAACAAGTATATTGGTAAGAAATTTTATATCTTATTTATATCATGTTGATAAATGGTAACATGGTTGGAATGCATGTAAAATGATAATAAAGCATCGAATATTGTTACTCATTTCATTTATGTGTTGCATTGCTTTGAATATTTTTATGATTGCCTCACTAAGTGTATACTTAGTGTGTGATGATTTTCACGCGTAGGTAAAAGAATGTGAGAGGAGTAAGGAGATGAGTTTGGCATCAATCACCGTTGAATAATTTTCAGGTAACAGTGATGACATCCTATCATGTTCTAAAGTTTATAGCTGGCATGTATACGAGTAAGAAATGTCTGCAAATTATAAGTATGAGTAGTATTAAATATTAAGTAATTGGATTTTAAATCAAATGGTTTTTAGATAGTTTTATTTATGATTTGAAAAAGAATAGAACTTTTTAGTTGATGCCAAAAACCGTATTTCAGATAGATGTCACAATATTATTATATTTTGATTTTATATGAAATTTATTTTACAATAAAAGTTAAGAATTGTAAACTTTTGAAAGAATCAAAATTTTACCAATTTTCAAATGTAGATTGCCTCCTAATGTTTTGTGTTAACTCTTATTCGTGTTCGGGGTTGAATACGGGAAAGATGTGTTACATTACTTATGTCGCTCACGAAGATGAGAAGAGAATGAAATAAATGAATTTGTGATTTAGAGTCAGAGTTGTAAATTAAGATTTTATATCAAATAAAATATTGTTAAAATGCCAAAAAAATCCTATTTGGATTAAATAGCTTGAATAAAATCATCTATGTCATCACCATCAGGTTAGAAAGATGTCATGTCGTCGTGTCATTAATAAATTAATGATTGGATGACATAATTACAGTTAAACATAAATATTAATGCTAAATTTAAAAAAATTAAAATGTTAGTGAAAAAAAGAATTATAACTTAAAAGTAAGTGATATTTGAAGTAGTTTACGATGGAATTTTCTATGTTTTCAATTTTTCTTTCTTTTTCTTGTCTTTCAATACTGTCCCTTTTTCTTCTCTTTCAATACTCTCCAAAAAAAAAAAAAAAGGACGAAATTTCGCTGACCCAAGAAGATAACAATCCAATCCATGGCGACTCGGCTTTCAGCCAAATTTTCTCAGAAACGGGCTTGCTCCATCTAACTTATTGACTCACAGCACTTAAAGCTCCTAGTTTGATGGTCAAGATTGGCAGCTGTAAGTCAAGCCTTTCTTTTTCCTTTTTAAGTCTCATTTTTACTATAATTTTTCCATACATTCTTTGTATTTATAATCATCAGCTTGATTGCCTAAAGCTAGGTTTCTTTTAATTTTGGAGGTTTCGAGTCTGGGTTTTAGATCTGGGTTCATGATATTTGCGATAATCGTATACTTTCAGGTTTGTTGAATTAGCGATCAAGAAAAGGTTCTTGAATTTGTGTTTTATTGTGTTATAGGGTAAAATTTTGTATTTTATGGTTTGGGCTTACATTTGTGATTCTGTGGTATCAGTTTCTTCTTAGTGTAATTTAAAGGTCTTTTATACCTGGGTACCTTAAACTTGTAAAAACTGTAAGGAGCCTTTATATGAGATCGCAAATAAGGGGTTTTTGGAGCATTCGTTATGGGTGAGGAAACACATGATGCAATGAACCTTGATTTGAATCTGGGTCCTAGTCCTGAGACAGGGTCAGGATCGGTGTCTAATGAAGGTTTAGGTTCAGATAATTTGGTCGATACCCGGTTTAATCGGATTAGGGAAGCAGTTCGACGTCGGCGATGGGGATGGCAGCAGGTTCAATTTCCTGCTGCAACTCAGAACCTATCTGTGGAATTGAATCAGTTTATGGGGAATTCAGACAATGCAGGTATGGCACAGACGGGTGAGGGCAGTGCCATTGTGGAAGAAAGAGTGAGTGATGTACCCAAACCGTGTGAGAATACCGATGGATTCATGGAAGATGATGTTTCGGAAAGCAAGGATAATGTTGGAAAGGGAGTTAGAAATGATGGGAACTTCTTTGATTGTAACATATGCCTGGGTTTGGCCCGGGAACCTATCGTAACTTGTTGCGGTCACTTGTTTTGTTGGTGTTGCCTCTACCAGTTGTTAGATGTGAATTCAGATGCAAAGGAATGTCCAGTTTGTAAAGAAGAGGTAACAATTAAAACTCTAACACCGATTTATGGTCGGGGGAAAATTGGCCTTGAGCCAGAAGATAACTCAGGTCTTAAGGTCCCTCCTCGACCCACTGCACGGCGGGTGGAGAGTTGGAGGCAAACTATTCAAAGGACTGCTTTAAATCTACCCGTGGAGGAGATGATTCGCCGTCTTGGAAGCAGATTTGATTTGAGCCAAGACCTGACTACTCCACGAGAGGCCAATGGTGCCCAGGGAAGGACGGATATAGCTGATTCTGTCCTAAATAGGATCTTGACATCTCGCAGGTTGCGTTCAGAGCAAACTACAGTTGCATCACTTGATGATGTTGACTTGAGTCCTAGCAGCACAAATGGCACTGATGTCATGTCATCCCGGATTCATTCTTTGTTCCGTCAAAGACAATCACAATCGCGTAGAGTTGCAAGACTTACTTCTCTGTCATCTTCATTGAGTTCAACAGAAAGGATAGTTGAAACGTATTTTCGAAGCAATCTGGTGGGAAGAAACCAGGAGCAGCCACTTCCTGTCGATGATAGAGATTCACTCTCAAGCATTGCTGCTGTAATAAACTCGGAAAGTCAAATGGACACTGCTGCCGAAATAGACTCTGTGATATCACTTTCAGCTTCAGCTTCCAGAAGAAGAAGTGATAATTTTAGGGTTTCAGATGTCGACAGCAGTGACTCTCGAGTGCATAGAAGGAGACGACTGAATTAGGAGATTGAAAGCTTTTGATCACATTTCATGTCAAGGAACAGCTCAATAATAGTTTTAACTGCATTTCGTTTACAAAGAAGTCGGGCTTCGACAGTTTTTATTTCTAAGAGGATGATCATAAAGTTTTCGAATCCATTGTGTGAATCGAAATGTTATTATCATTTGCTTGGCAAAACAAATGTGTAGGGGACCTAGAAAGAAGACCCATCTTTACTGCCCATTTACATAAACCATGTAAGCTCAGTGTGTCTGATAATTTTTCCTTTCACGATGCTTTTCCCCCGTTTTCAATCATTGTTTTGTAAAGATATGGGGAAGTTGTTAATTTTCATAGCCAACTTTGTCAATCTATATTTAGCTCATGGACCATCTATTTTGGGTTAATAATCAGTTCATCCTAGAATGTGCCAATTACCAATTTGGGTGTCGTTGCTTTTTCCTTGTGCTTTTTAATCTTGCAATATGCATACTATGTTGATATTAGGTCATGAACCCGTCTCATTTCCCTTTTTACGCACTGAGTTTTGAGATGCACCAGGTTTTGATATACACACTGAATTCTGGGATACATGAGATGTCATGTTTGCGTTTTCCTTTATTTTCTTTTTGCCTCCTCATCTGCCACTCTTGAGAGACCTAACCCTAACCCCCGTTCATTCCCAAACCATATCGGTTCGTCATTCGAACAAGCACCTTCATGACTTTGTCTGTCTGACAACCCTCATGAACCAGTAACCTCGACCCGAATCCCTCTACTCCAGCAAAGTTACGAGGTTAGTAGATACCGTTTGTGTCCAAAGAGCTCCAATTAGGAGGTTGCAGTCTTTACCCCGAGCAAGCTAAACATTTGGATTGTTTTTGTTATCATTTGTTTTTAAATAGCACCGTCCGTGAAGAATCTATAACTCCATTAATTTAGGGTACAATACTTGTCTTTTCAAAGGCATACATATTCATACGAGCTTACTTGTCATTAATATTTTCATTGTTTTTTATTTATACTTTACCACATTTCGAAACTCCAGTTTTGTGGAAAATGTTCTACTTCTATCTATACATTTGTTTTATTTAACATGAATGTGCTTAATAACGAGTATATTTAACAAAAAAGTTAGAAGCTCGAATTTAATGATTGCTTGAGTGACCTCATATGGTATCTTACACTCATCGTATGTTTCACGTCGATTTTAGGGTATTACAGAAGTCATAGATTGCGTTTGTTGTTCTAAAAGGTTTTTAACTGATTAATCCAATTAAGTGGTGATTAAGTTGTGTGAAATTATGATTTTGCCCATGTGTTCTGAATTGTTGTTTGATTAAGATACACAAGTTTAAAGGTTAGTATTTAAGGATAACGATTTTAGGACTCGATGTTATACTTTTGGTGTTATTCCATTTCAATTTACTATTTTTTATAATAACAATTTTTTATAATTAATCCAATTTTAGAACCATAATTCCCAAATTATAACCTCAATTAGAAGGTTTATACCTTAATTCATACGTTCAAACCATATTTTTGAAATCCAATTCCGAATTCTCAATCTGAATCGAGCAGGGCGTACTAGTACCTTGTATCATGTGTACCGGTACATGGGCAGCCGAGTATCGGTATAGATTGTGTATTAGTACCATAATTGTACATTGTTTTTGTGTACGAAATACGTGTACCGATACACTATTACAGTGTGATTGATTCTTTTTTTCTGCAATTATAATGTCACTAATTATTTTAATAATGCTATTTTTGTTTACGTTTGTGAAAATACATATTTTTTTCGAGATGAATAATAATAATGATACCAAAATTCAAATTATATAGTCGGACAAAGATGGATACAACAGTGAATTAGATTATGCAACTTATACTAAAGAAGAACAAATTGATTATCCTATTGATAATGAGAAACATATAGATGATGAGAAGAAAATTAACAACTTCATTGACGAAAGCATATGGATAAGATTGAGAAGGAATTAAAAGATTACGAAGAGAATGATATGAATATGTTGAAGTGGAAGACTTTAGATGATTGTATTGAATTTTATTATACCTATGCAAAGGTGAAAGATTTTGGAGTTCAAGCACTACTAGGAAAAACCCCTTTAATGACGCGCATTGCGCGTCATCTATGGGTGCGGATGACACAAAAATATCTGTCGTTGAAGCCATCGACATGAATCTTAGATGACGCGCAATTATGTGTCATAAATCTATGACGTGCATTGATGATATGCATTGATGACACACAATTACGACGCTCATTTATGACGCGTAATGTGCGTCATTGAAGTCCCCGTCAAAAATGAAGATGACACACATTTGTGTGTCATAAATTTATGACACGCATGTATGACTTACATTGCGTGTCATTGAAGCACACGTCATTAAAAAAGATGACACGCATTCGTGTGTCGTGATTGTATTTCGTAAATTATATATATATATATATATATATATATATATTGTAGATTGACAAATAATCAAACTAAATCACATTTAATGCCACATAATACTAAATATATATATCATATTATATATAAGCAATCCATTTGCATACAATATATTTACTTTAAATTATCAAAAATATTGTAATCAAATGTCGATACAAGGAACAAATAAAACAAATTAATGAATAAAAACCTAATTCAGCCATTAATCACACAGTAACTTCATAATCCTACTACAGTAAACTTGAACATCTAAAAACTAACAAAAGTAAAATATATTCATTCAAAAGCTGAAGGAATATAATGAATTGTTACAGGACCTTTTACAACAAAAAGTATCTTAGTCTCATCTACATCCAGAAGAAACTGCAAGGAAACAAAGAAAACAATAGTCAAACAACACCTCTTTTGCATACGTAACATGCAGAATATGAACAATGAAAATGGCATCACCTTGAAAGTTAATGTGTTCATTGATGACCCCAAGCATTGCAGTGGATTGCGTTTTATGCAAATATTGCAACAGAAGATCATAGGAATATTGTTGAAGTGATTGTCAACAAATTCAACAGTAAATGAGGAAACGAATAGATTCTTTTCTTATCTATTAACAGTTACCAAAGAAACAATTTACGGCATTTACCTGACATATCTTGATGTTAACTTTACTCTGCCTAAGAGAACGAGCAAATTCCATCTCTTGATTAAGGAAACAACTGATGGTGAGTACAAAAAAATGGAAGTGATTAGTAAGTAAAAAAAAAGGAAGAAAGAACAGTATGTTCCACCTCCAAATGAGACTGAGAAAGAACCCCTTACAATTTTTTAAAGTCTCGTGAGTGCATCAATTTCAAAATGTAAAGTGATTTACCTCCAAAATAAATTTTCTTCCGCTTTTCTGATTTAATAAAAAAAATTAGTTAAAAAAGGAAACAAATAACCTTGAAGAATTAAAAAAATCAAAAACAAAGAGAAGAAAATAGTTAGCTTCGACTCACAGAGAAGTATTGATCCCATTCCTTGTCCAGGCAGTGCCGATCTTTAAAAAACTGAAACGATAGGAATTAAACAATTTCAAAATCACTATTCCAAAGAACATAATAAAATTTTTGTAGTAGTGGTTCTATATAAGTTGCAGCTTCTCGAAGTGATCCCAAAAAGAACCTTGTTTGTCACAACCATTTCTAGTACAAAGACAACCGAAATTTAGTAGCATTCGATCCTCAACCTTAGGTATCTATTATAGCATTTAACATTATTTAACAGCTAGTCCAAAATTCATGTTTGGGGAGTAGATGTAGTGCATTTAAGTAATAACACAACATCTCAACAATGACCTTAGTAGATATAAAAAGGGGTGAAAACAACTTAAACAAAACTGCAAGAGGACTAACTTTATCTTGATGTCGCCTGTAGAACTGATCCCAATACTTCTTAGCATATGTTTCATACTTAGCTACAAAACAAAAGATCAAATTTAAAGCACCATTTATCGACTCAATGCAGGCCTATAACTATGAGTAAAAGAGATCTAATTTGAGCACCTATCCAAAAGGGGGAAACACCAGTGGTAGTGGGTGGATATATTTGTATCCTCTGCGCTGATTGTTGCTGTTTCACACCAATTTACATTTCGGACTCCATTATTGGACCAGCCTTAATGAAGAAGAAAAAACAGAGTTTTAAACTTCATGAAATATGAATTGTAATTCACAAATCTTAGAAGCGGAGAATTAAGATACCAAACATGCATGTAATTGTGGACTCAGGGATTATCTTTTTTTTAACTTATTAACAACGATATGTGATCCTCACAACTTTGGTAGGAACATAATCCATAAACATTTGTAATTTATAAAATAAATAAATACAAGAACGATTGAAGACAGTGACTTCACCAGGCCTAATTTCCTCGTTACAAAACTGCTGACATGAATCAAATAACAAAATGCTGCTTTAGCTTACCTACTAAACCAAGTCTTCAAAAAAAAAAATCAGCGTGCAATGGCGGGAGTAAAAATTCGCAAAGTATAACCACACAGTAACTTGGTTTTGAAGCAATAAAAACAATTCATTAGCTAAATATTCGGTGGCGGGTCCCGACAGTCAATGCCGACAGCAAGATACAAAGCACTCAACAAGTGCTAATATCATGGATGCAATGATAGATGAGAAATGATAGCATAGAGGAAGTCAACCCACAATCACTAGAAACACATTTTTTAAATCTTAACAATCTTGTACATAATTCCATAGGATCACCCTGCACCTTTAACATACACAAAACACCACCCTATAAATACACTAAAACACGCAAAAATATTGCACCGCCTACATAAAGATGAGAGGCCAAGTTCTAATTTACATTCTTCTACTTAAAGCATTCAACGTATATCATACACCTACATCAAGCACATTTACAAACTTTTGTAGCTTCTAAATTGTAATGCATTAATGTTTTTTCCTATAGTGCCAACAGTTCACTTCAAGTTCAGACCTCGAAGCCTAATGTCAAAACCACGTGCTAGAAATGCATTACCTACCTGGGTAAGAACTGTGTAATCTCTTTCAGCTTAAAACTGTTGTATTTATCTAGCTAGTATAACTAAATCCATTAGCTAAAAAAAAATCCTCGCTGCGATGAAAAACAGGTTGAAATGAAAAAGATTCATAAATCCCCATCTGGACCGAACCTATTAGAAAATCACCGACCACCATCTAGGCATTAAAACAATGGATGCAACAACCAACGTGGAAGATAGGGTAAGGCGACACAAATTGTATTTGGAGGCGAGACGTCTCTGTGTAGGAGAAGGATTTTACTTGTAAAAATCCATATGAGAAA